AATTTCTTAGAAGAACTGAAAGAGAAAAATGATAAGCTTTGTGTGGCTCCAGACTGCCGTGAAAAAACTGCTTAAAGTGGGTCGCACTCGTCCTTTCTGGATGTGAGGTTCGGGGAATTTCATCCGTACGAAAAACCTTATGGCCATTGATGAACTGTCATAGGATGTGTCAGGATGTAGAGTTTTGTGAGTTGATCTTTTCTAACTTTTCCTAATCATCACAGTGGAAAGGTAGCATAGCTATCTCTTTAGGTGTCCAAGGAAAGCATTACAGTTTCTTACTTCTACTTACCAGCAGTGTGATTTCTCTGTATGACTCCCAATACGATGTAAACAACTTACACTATGCTAGTAACTGTTTTTCGTCTTAACACTATTTAACCTGTCTTTCTGCCATCTGACGACCTGCAGAAACATTCTTTCCAGCCATCATGGATCTTTGATTTATTGTGATATGCAATCTTATCATCACGCAGAGTAGATATTTGTGTGTATTCAGACGTCCTGCCGGCTAAAGACCAGCTGAGGTCTAGGTGTAATACTAATTAATGAAATTTTTTAAGGCTTCAGTGCCTGAGCGAGAAACCAGAAATTCTACACTAGAAAGATAAGATTAGTTAGTATGGTTAACTAATAGTAAAAGTCGCCTAGCACAAATACACATCTCTAGTTTCCTCAAGGCTATCGTAACTGCTTCCTGGGTGTTAGGAAAAACCAAACCTAGGTTTATCACTTTTGATATGAGGTTTTATGATTCTTGTTAGAAATTCTATTCAAATGGATATATATATATATATATATATATATATATCCATATGATTATACTGTAGCATGCTTCAGTTTTAAGTTTAATTCCATAACTTTTGTTTTTCCTTCTAGATATTTTATTCAGTGATAAATTACAGTGGTCTGACTCATGACCAATGACAGAAAGCAAGAATTCGACTGATATCAATGAGTTGTTACCACCATCTTTAGCTGCTGTTAGAGACATATTTGCAGAGTTTAATGTTGCAGAGGTTTCAGACGAAATATGTACTCGAGTTTTAGACGTTCTGTACAGTATGTTCTCCTAATTCTAAACTTAACACTTAGGACACACATGTGATGTTATTGAAGAAGCAAAGGCTGTTTCTCATCACGCTGGTCGATCCAAAATTGAAGAGGATGATATACAGTTGGCTATCAACTCAGTCACTGAAGGACTCATGTTTGCACCTCCCTACAAAGACCAGTTACTAGCTTATGCTGAGAAAAATGAACAACCACTACCGGCTATCCGTCCTCACTGTGGTATTCGTTTACCAGCAGATCGCTTCAATCTCACGGCTCCAAATTATACACTTGCATCCGCTGCAGAGAATGGAAAGGTTGTGCGGCTTATTAATTTTTTGTTGAATTTTATGTTCTTGCATTTTTATTTGATAAGGTTTTCGCATAATAACCATCCAATAAGATTATGGGTTATAGGTTCGAATTCCATCCACTAATTTTATTCACAGTAGTCATACGTTGCCTTCAGATCTGGCGTAATGGAAAACTGTGCAGAGCACAAGCTTGTATCTTATAACTCAGGGTATAGAGTAAATTATTCTTCACAGTTTTACTGATGACTGGGTGGTTTCATACCAACTTTGGCACAGATTTTCTTGTTCTTAGAAAACTAATCAAAGCAAAATATAAAGAATTTTTCAAAGTGTTTAGTAAAACATTTACCTACCCACTTGTAGCCGTAAGTGACTGGATCCAACGTAGAACTTTGGACAGATGTGCAGCAGTTTGAGTTGCCACACCCCATGTAGCACACAAAGCAAGTGAAGAGAGTAAAGAGAGATAATAAACAGAGATATGAGGCAAAAACAATAGTAATATGGAAGAACAATAGAATTTTATTGGATATTATAAATTACAAAGAGTGAATGCATCTGCGCTATTGAGAACGATTTTGAGCTAGCCATATCACCAATTGTCTCCAGCCATTAGTTTTCACCATCCCGAGGACCCCAACCAGAAACTTGTAACCGTGCCTCAAATCAATGTTTTTTAAAGGTATTCTGTTTACTGCCATCTTCTGTTACCACAGGTCTCCAAGTTAGATAGTTCATGAGTACATACGTAACCTGTTGTTTTATTGTCATTACTTTGATTGAGTTGTGCGAGATCGTACCAAGTCTTTAGTCACGACCGATGTATATTTAAATTATTATCCCTAACATACTTAAGCTTGACTGCATAAACAAGTAAGTAGTCAAACATCATTAAACTTCTGTAGTCGAATTTCACTCCAAAAACGCTAAAACAAAAAAGTTTATATCATTTTCAATAACTTTGCATATTATGATAATCACTTTACTACATATTTCATGGATATACTAAGCGCAGATTCGTATCTCTAGACGGCGTTGAGAAGTTGGTGAAGCGTATTCGTGTAATTCTTTTAAGGTATGCAGTATATGTAGCACTGTAAGTGGCATTAGGCTTCCAGAAATCAATGTTTTGCATAATTTGCCACTGAATGGTATAAATGGTTTGTTGACAGTGGTTGTCAGTCAAACCGAGGGGATCTAAGCATCAATCATCTCTCTCGTTTATTCAGGATCGAGCTGATAAATGGTGTACATAGGTGATGTAGATTAGATAGTTGTGTTTTCCAAACCACAGTATAGTTTCAAAACTAGTTCTCAGTAGTTTGTGTTATATCCACTTTAGGGCACATTTAAGCATTCGATCATACTGTATTGTATCGTCTAACAGACAGCTCAAACGGTTGAGACCTGTACCTCTGAGAATCGTTATAATATATATGTATATTTAATTTATGGCTACTTTTAGGTTCATAAAATTTCAGTGTTTTGATACAAGAAATTTGTGACATATATATTAAACAGAAGTCTTTTATTTTCCTACAATAGTTCTATCATTTAGTTTTTGGCGAAGATCAACTACATATTTATCCTTATGTTAGAGTAGAAATCATGTAATAGGACACAGCCACTGATCAGTTTAGTCATTCGATATACTAAGGACTGATAAGTCATCTATTGCACATATTATAAACAGGTAACTACAAAACTCTAGGTTTGGTTCCTATATCCCTGTCTTTTTCTCGATTTGAATTGGTTGATATATTATTATTTCCTTTAATTCCTAGAGGAACATAGGGCTTCAGCTGTGCGTCTCCATTGCGTTCGGTTCTCTACTAGAGTCTTCACCTAGCTCCAAGTCTGCCCACACGTTTTCATCTCCTCTTCACATAACCTCCTCCAAGTCACCCTTGCACTGACGACCAACTCGCCGCTTCCCTTTCGGGTTCCACTCGAGCAATGGCTTGTCTAGTGATGTCACTTGATGGTTTCCTCAGAGTATGGCCAGCCAATCCATCTCCATTTCTTCCTGCCTATTTGTTTCAAAATCGGTTCCTGCTGGGTTGGTTCGCTCCCAGAGATTCCTGTTGCTGATCTTTTCTGGCCATCTGATCTTGAGTATTGAGCGAAGACAACTGTTAATGAAGGTCTGTAGTTTGTTTGAGATGCTCTTTATGACGCGCAGTGCAAGTCTCTGATCCGTATAGTAGCACTGACTTCACATTGGAGTTGAAAATCTGGATCTTATTTTTCATGCTGAGTGCTGTTGACCTCCACACAGACTTGAGAGTAGTGAAAGCTTGTCTTGCTTTTCCGATTCTTGCTTTGATATCCTCGTCAGTTCCGCCTGTAGTTGAAATGATGCTTCCCAGGTAGGTAAAAGAGGTTGTTTCTTTCAGGTTCCTCCCATTTATGCTGACCGTTGTCTGTTGTTGTTGTTGCTGTTGGTGGTGTTGCCCAGGAATCTTCATCACCTCTGTTTTCTCTATGTTCACCTAAGAAGTCCTATCTTCGATGCTTCTTCTGCCAACTTGTTGCTTTTCACTTGCATATCTTCCAGTTTGTGGGAAATCAGATATATATCATCGGCGAAGTCCAGATCCTCCAAGTTTTTTGTGTGAGTCCATTTTATGCCTGTTTCCTCATTGCCCACTGTTTGTCACATTATCCAATCTAATGCAATCATTAAAATCATTGGCGATAGTAGGCAGTCTTGTCTTACTCCTGTCCTTACTTCGAAGGATTCCGTAAGTTTTCCGTTGTGGATTACTTGGCATGCAGCATTGTCGTACAGCTGTTGGATGAGATGCATCATTGACATATATATATATATATATATATATATATATAGGTATAGTGAATATACGCTCTTTCCTTTTAAACGTTTTGGATGTTGCTCCATATTAGTTTGTTTATTAGGTATATCACACAGTGAAACAGTATTATTTACTGGATGACGTTTCGAACAAAATTTATTGTTCATAATCATATCAATTGTGTTTTGGATGTTGAGTAATCAAGTTGATATAATCATGTGAAGTAGGATAATTACCACTACTTGTAAAAGGGAAATGTAACAGTGGAAAAAAATTTGCCTTTTGATGAATCACTGTTGCCTGTTTTTTATTCAATATTGATCACTTTCCATTCATTGGAGAATTTCGTAGCTCAGACCACACTTTTGTGTGTGAGATAATGCATAATTCAAATTCACTGTTTTCCATACCAGAATCTGAAATTCATAAGTGAGTCGTGTTGGTTTTTAATAAAGCTTACTAATTATTAACATCCTTAAATAGTGTGGGCTCTTGGAGTAGCTAAATTTTATCTGCTTATTTTTCAATGAACTACCGATAGTGAATCTATCACAGCTGCTTTCAAGACGATCGCATCTATGATTTTTTCTAAATTTAATATTGTTTAAATCGGTTGTCAGATTTCAGTTTAAAGAAGCAGGACAAAAATATGTTACAAAACCTCTTTTTTGATATCCGAGTATACATCAGTCCTCTTTTAAAAGCTGGAAGCTGTTTTGCAACTGAGAAATTTTCTGTTTCAAGCATAACTCAGTACATCTTTAAGTTAGGATTTCTGAAAGTTTGTGTAAGTTAAACTGTTTTCATCTTAATTTCACAGAACCCGTCTTCTGAAATTGTCAGTGATTCCTCAATAACTGTTCATATTTCCAACCCTGTAAATTCTCCGAAGAATATATTTAGAGCTATAAATCCTACGAATAGACCAATCAGTGTTGGCAATCCTCTGGGACAATCTGTTCATGTTATCGCGGCACCTGGAATAGGTCCATCTATGATTCGTGTACAGACTGTTCAAAATGTAGCTCAGTTATCTGGTGTTGACAACAGTGGTACTGGTTTGAGAACGCTACCCGTTGGTCCTGCTGTTTCTAATGGTAATTTCTTGTGAAGTTTGTTAGTGTTAGTTTATTCATTCATTTTTGATAACTCCGTTCTTTTTTATCCACAGAAATAACATGAGTTCACACATTTTATTCTCCAATTATTAGTGAAAAGCTGTTGTAGCACATTTTTCCGTTCTTTGTTTTGGGATTGGTAAGTTGAAATTTATGGACATATTGAAACAATTGACTCAGCGAATGACCACTAATTTTGGTACTTTATGCCCACTTTTATCACCTGGATAACAGAGAACAGTGTCAATTAACTAACGTATGGAATAATTATTTGTGATTACGCCAATTCCGGAATACAAAAGAAATTATCAACACATCAAAAGCACTCACTGCTAGGGTGACTTTATCATGAATCTCATTGCTAACAACTTGTTAACTGTATAAGTATAAAGTGTTTCAGTATACTTCTTTACTTGTAAAGTATTTCTATTCAGTCTTTGAAAATCAAGTCTATCCAACGCCTAGTGTAAACAGACCATTGTCCACATGAAATACAAAGCAAGTAACCTAAAATTTTTGACTGTACTTTAAGTGACATTCAGATTATCGTTAACCAACATATGTCATGCGAAATCAGCCAGATATTGAGCAAAATTTTTAATTCTGACATGAATTGAAGCTGAATGTGAGCTATCACGAAGCTAAGATTTTATTGCTCGGGAACTTGTGATTAATTAAAGTTATTTAAGTGTTCTAAAGTTTTTTACCAAACATACAAATACGTAGGAGTTTTGAGTTTGGTTGTTAAAAGTAACTACTTGAAGCTTACTTAATTAATTGTGTGGAGTAAAAATGTATTACATGGTGGGATAATCATTAAGTCAAGTATATACAGTGATTGAATGTTTGCAAAAAAAGTGTTACTCAACAACCAGTTGCAATTCCATGCAGTTGGCCATGATCAGCCATACCTATAGTGTGAGGGCTGATGATACTATCTGGTTGACTGAACCTTAATATGTGGGGCGGGGTTCGAACCCCTGACTCACTGGTTGGAAGTCAAACGCTTAGACTAGTAACGTACAGCTGCACAACCGCATTCTTAGGACATATTTGTTTAAATGTATCTCCAAACTATGCACTTTTATCTGTCTCAAGACGTTCTTTAACTCTGTGGAAGTATACAGTTCCAACTTTATTTCCTTTTATGCTTTAAATTTAAGTGTCATGATAGGTGTTTGTGTGAAAAATAACTTGTCATTCTATCTTTTTCTTTACAGTTATGTCTATGAACCGACGTTTCATGGATACATCATAGTACTGTTTCAAATGAAAACAACTTGAAGAATATTCGTCTAAATAATATCAACTTTTAATCTTTCCATCTGAATTAGTTGTGAATTTACAGATTAATTATCAGAATAATTTATTCTGTATTAGTGTAAATAACTATTATTTGTATATATACATAGTTTTCATTTTTTTTAACTGGCATTTTAACAGAATTAGCTATTTTAAAGTTAGGAAAACCTGGTTGGTTGTATAAAATTTACGCGATTTCGTTGGAAGGCGAGTTGAATCTGAGAGTAAATTTGTGACAATATATTTCATAGTATAAGAAAAATGGATACCGGTCTCAAATGAATGAAACAAATAATAATTATGATCATGTGGGATACAAGCATATGGGGAATATTTGTTTCCGTATACAAATTTAAAACAAGAAATAAAAGTTATTAAAGCGGTTACGGCTTTTTACTTAACATAAGTGATTTTATATACTGTTAAGCAATGAAGGAATAGACTTGGACGAAATAAGAATAAAAAAGTGGCAGGATAACAATAGTAATATTCTTATTATATAATATAATATTGATCGCCGAAAAGAGTAACTCTTTGCTGAACGCCTTTTCTTTTCTATGACTGAATGGGAATTTTCAAATTACTGAAACGTTGCAAGGACCCAGTGACGGTGAAGGAGCTGGACCGTTTCCTGCGTTACTTCGTCAAGCTTGCAGTAGCGAAGGCAGAGGTTGAGTTCTTGAGAGAATGTTTAGATCGGCACGAATATCCAAAGATGTACTGGAAGTCCCTCAGACGAAACCATCACGTGTCCTTGAACTAGAACGAAATGTTGACTTACGAGCTCACGCAGTCCACGACTTAGAACAAGAACTACGCCAATCGTTCGAAGAATATGTCGAAGAAGTTGCACAGAAACAATGTGAGAATGTCAAGTCAAACCTTATTAAAAGCCTGAAGCCGACGAGCGACCCTGAACGTCCATTCCCAAGCAATCCAGAAAAATACGTATTTTAACCTCTCAAACATCAAGCTGTCAGAACTTCAACTAGAAGCACTGTCCCTCGGTCCAAAGTTCTGCACAAAACCATCGAAAATCCAAAAACTTCAAACCCAAGTTCAGTTCGAAAACTTGATAAACCGAACATATGATCTATCACCAACTTCCGAAGAGAACCTGCAACAGTTCAGGTCGGTAGTCCTCGACAGCTGCCATAAATTTATGAATACCAAACCAAATGGAAAGTCAATACTGACCAAAAAACACTATAAAGAGCTCAAGGAATTAATAAACAACAAAGAGATTATTCTGTTACGCCCGGATAAAGGTGGGGGAATCGTAGTCATGAATCGTGAAGACTACATAAGTAAAATGCTGACCATCCTATCCGACGAATCTAAATTCATAAAACCAACAAACGAAAAGAACATAACGGGACAAACTGAACAAAAACTAACGAACCTTCTCCGAAAACTAAAGACTGAATCATTCATCGATCTTGAAACCTTCGTATCGTTGAAACCGTCGGGCTCAAATATACCCCGGCTATATGGACTACCAAAGGTGCACAAGAAAAACGTACCTCTTCGACCCATTCTCGATATGACTAATTCACCTTATCACAGTACCGCACAATGGCTAGTAGACATACTAGAACTAGTCAGAAAGGAAATCTCCCGCCACTCACTTCGAGACTCCTTCGATTTTGTCAATTCCATTGAAAACGTCAGCGTTTCCAATCAAACCATGTTCTCACTGGATGTGGTATCACTAACCGAAACAATATGCTATATATGTGAATATATTGATTCAAAGGAGATGAACATTGGTATACCCACTGACTATTTGAAAGAACTCCTATTAAGATGTACTCTAAACGTCCAATTCACTTTCAATAATGAAATATATAGACAAAAAGATGGTATAGCTATGGGCTCACCACTCGGCCCGCTGCTTGCAGATATTTTCATGTCAAAACTAGAAAATACACACCTAAAGAAGACAATAGATAACTTCAGGTTCTACAAGAGATACGTGGACGATACCTTTATTATCGCCAATAATGAGGAAAATTTGGAGAACATATTGGACTTCTTCAACAGTTGCCATCCAGCAATCCAGTTCACACTAGAGAAGGAGTCCAACGCAACAATGTGCAACTAACAAGACGCGAACAAGATGGGACACTCAAAAGATCCATTCACAGAAAACCGACATGGAATGGACAACTCATCAGCTTTCACAGTTGGGTGCCTCTATATACAAAACGAAATCTAATCCGCTCACTGACTCACAGAATCCACAACATTTGTAGTCCGGAAACTATAGAAGAGGAGCTGAAGACCCTGAAAGGAATCCTCCTTGAAAACGGTTACCCGGAACGTTTCATCACAAAAGCCATGAAGCCCAAAACACAAAAACCGTCTATGCCTACTGCTCCCAAGAAACTTCTCTATTTGAATCTACAACTCAACGGAGATTCTTCAGCAGAAATACTGAGAAACCGCCTGTGCCGTTCACTGAAGAAAACTTTCTTCGCAGCTGAACTCAGACTAACTTTCTCTACGAAACCAATGATTCGCATGAACGTGAAGGACAAGCTTCCACTGGGGGCCTCATCAATGTGCATCTACCAATTCACCTGCTCATGTGGAGCTAGGTATGTCAGCCGTACCCAGCGTTTGCTATCCAAACGAATCAGCGAACACTTACCTTCATGGTTTTATAAAGGAGAAAGAAGATCCCCCCGCCACAGCTTTATCCTAGAACACTTGATCGAATCCGGACACCAAGCAAACCCACAAAACAACTTCTCACTTATCTACACAATACGTGGGAATCTTGCCAAAAGAGTACGAATTAAACTTCTTCAAACTGCAGAAGCAATGGCAATTCACATATTGAATCCTGAACTCTGCATACAAAAGAAGTTTGTTCAGTCACTAAATCTTCAATGGTCCTGATCTATCTCAACACCAAATACGTAATTTTGTCTTACCTCTTTCTTCTTTGTTTGTCTGTTTCTTAGTTGCATTATTTTCTACCCCCACCTTCTATTAAATCTCTACTCTCATGACGACTGTTGCCAACTCCATTTTCGTTTATTTTCAAGTGAATTCTACTCAGCTTATTAACCTAACTCTCATTCATTTTCAAGTGAATTCTACTCAGATTATTAACTTGACTCTGATTCATTTTTCATTGAACCCTAGCAATTGGATTACGTCACCCAACCTACTTTTGTAACTTTATTTTAGTTTCTAACCGATTAACGCTTTCTAAATTACGTAATTTGCTGTCAAAAATTAACAATAGCATTAACACATCTTTGGAAATATTCCTTTTGTTGCCGAGAAAAATTACTATAAATTTGCGGTTTGTACAGCTTGAGAATGATATCGCCGAAAAGAGTAACTCTTTGCTGAACGCCTTTTCTTTTCTATGACTGAATGGGAATTTTCAAATTACTAATATCAATTTGTTATTTTGAGTGATAGAGGTAGGGAATAACATAACTGATACAATCACTCTGAAGTAGTTTCAAAAGATAAAACAAATTACGTAACAGTCAGTTATACAATGCAAGTAGGGATCTGAAATTCGACAAGGTGAAAATTGTTATTAGATAAGAAGCAAGGTGATTCAGTGTCCATTTGACAAGCTTGAAGAAGGTGAGTAAACTCAGTTGGTGAGCAGTGATAAGTTTTTTGCATATTACAATGTCTCAGCAAGCTATTCTGGCTGGAAAGCATTTTCATATAAGTTCTACTATGTTAGAAAGGTCAGTTGGTTAGTGTTGATCTGAAAAGTAGTCGCCATCATAATGTAAGTTATTAACATTATGCTGGAAGTTTAAAGGTGAAGATCTTAGGAGTCACAGTCATACAAAGGTAAATTGAAGCGCTGGGAAAAACAAATCGGAGAAAGCGAGGTATGCTTCAGGCACACACGAGGGTGCATTGATCATATCCTCAGTTTCCAAAACTATGGAATGCACACACTCTCTCCCAATACTTGTCATGTCTCTTAACTTATAAACGTCATTTGTCTGCGTCAATCATGCACAGACTAAGCCGAACTCGGGAGGAACAAACGAGGGAAAATCAAGCGGGCCTTAGGCCAGGTAGAGGGTGCATGGATCATATCTTCACTCTCCGACAGATCCTAAAACATAGACACATTTTTAGGCGTCCAACAATTGCCATATTTCTTGACTTGAAGGCGGCCTTCGACTCCGTGGATAGAGAGGTATTATGGCAATGTTTGACTGTGAAGGGAGTGCCAAGAAAGTACATTGCACTAATCAAGGCACTCTACTCAAACTCACGTAGCTATGTAAGGGCTTATGGGGAATTGTCATCTGAATTGATAACAACCAGTGGTGTCCGTCAAGGATGTCCACTTTCCCCTTTTCTGTTTAACTTCATCTTAGATATGCTAATGGAAGTATCCTTAACTGAACTTAACGACTTAGGAATCGACTTGTTACCAGGGAATAGTCTTATGGACTTAGAATATGCAGATGACATAGTCCTGTTAGGGGAGGATGCTGACAAAATGCAGAGTCTTCTGAACACCTTGAGCAGCAATCTTCGTATGTTTGGCATGCGATTCGCCCCTGTGAAATGTAAGATGCTGCTACAGGACTGGACTACGTCAACTCCTAGCTTAGTGATAGGGAGTGAAGTGGTAGAACATGTTGACCATTTCACCTATTTGGGAAGTTGTATCAGCACCAACGGATTGATTGGTGGCGAAATCTCAGCACGGATCCAAAAAGGTCGGGCTGGTTTCGCTAACTTACACCATCTCTGGCGTAGGCGTGACATCCGGCTATCAACCAAGGGACGTGGGTACTGCTCAGCAGTTCGCTCCTTCCTTCTCTATGGTGGTGAGACGTGGCCATTGAGAGCGGAAGACATGAAGAGATTGTCTGTTTTTGACCACAGATGTTTACGATCTCTTTCTCGCGTTAGGTAGTATAATAAGGTAAGTAATGTTGACGTTAGGCGTAGAGTGTTGGGCAAAGAGGGAAAATCAATCGAAGAGGCTATAAAGTCACATAGATTGAGATGGCTAGGTCATGTGCTGCGCATGCCTAGCCATCGCCTCCCACGACGGGCATTACTAGCTGATATAGGTGCAGGTTGGAAAATA